ATTGATTCTGTGTCAGCGGGATTCATCACCACTCCCACTGGGCCCCATCCCACAAAACTCCTCTCCACTCAACACCTGCTCCTTGCCTTCCCCTGTCCCAGCCATTTCCATACATGGTCACTCAGACTGTCCAAACTCAGCCGTCTCCCCAAGTCAGGAGACTTCCAGAACCTTGTGCCTCTCCAGCTTGGCAAAAGGTGAATCCCAGGAAGGCCACCAGACCTCACAATTGCCAGAGGCCTCATTCCTGTACACACCCCACACAGACAGACAGAGAATGGGAGTTCCCATGTCCTCAATCCTGAGGTCCAGAAGGGCCTGGAAATACTAATCACCAAGAAGGCGGAACTGAAGATCTGTAAGAACACAAAAGAGGAGGGACAGCACATCTCCCTGTGTTCTCTGGGGAATATGTTCAAATTATGGGCAAAGAACAGGACCCTGTCCCGCCACAACCTTTCTAGAAAACAAAGAAAGAAGCAGAGCAGCTTCCTGTTTCACAACAGTGCTTTTATCCCAAGATCTTGGGGGACCACTTGCACCACAAAGGGAGCCAGCTTTTCTAGGGCCTCGCTCTTCTACACAGTGAGTCCCTGGTGCAGAAGATCAGAGTGCCTGGTGCCTCCTTAGAGTTTTCCCCATTTTAATCAATGGGCTCTGTATTTACACGCCGGAACACATTCATGCTGATGTGTTTTCACAGCACTATTCTTCCCAACCCTTGCTGGACCACGTGGGCCAACTCCAAACATTCTCTCTAGCCTTGCTTTCTTGCCAGCTACAATCTGTGCCTCAGAGACTGACCCAGGGCTATGATCCATCTTCTCCATGTGGACCCTGCCGTTCACATCCAGTTAGGGGCCGAGATGTTTCTAGTCTTGCAAAGGAAAGGAGGAAGAAATATCCTATTTCACCTATTATTCAAAAATGGCAAAAATGGCAAAGCAAATATTTGAAGGCAGCAGGAGAAAATAGAGCTTTTCAAAAAATTGCCTGGTCAAAAAATCTCAGAAAGACTTTAGCCAACTGGCTGACAAACATGGGATCTGTCAGGAAAACACGTCCTCTGTCAAAGTCCCAGTGGATGTTATCTCCCCTAAGCTCTGGGAAGAATTGGAGCAAAACCTTCAATCAAGACTCATGTGTGGGCCGCCCCCTAAGGTCCACCTATCTCTGGACATAGAAAGAGCCCTTGGGACAAGACAGGCAAAGCGTAATGGTGGGCCTTCCCAGAACTCAATGATAGAGGACAGCAGCCAGGTCACACAAAACACCAGATCAGGGCGCCCTGAAGTATCCCAATACTCAAGCAATGACTTGGGAAAGGACCCAAAAGTGCAGGCCAACGGTCTAGAAATCTCCCCAGAGAATGATCTAGAGTCCATCTCTGAGGCAGCATCACAAAGAAATAGGGTGAGTCTCTTAAGAAGTGATTCAGGAAATGAATCAGCAGGCGGTCCAGAGAAGAACCTGGAAGGCAGCGTGCAAGTCTGTGTGAGAGGGAAGGTGGAGCAGACTGGGGGCAGAATCCCTAAGGGTGGGGATCACTCCACCCTTAGTGTGCACCATACCTGCGACCCTCCTGGAATCTCAAATGTCCCCATGGAAACTGGAAATAAACCATCCTTGAAGGGGCAGGAGTGCAGCAGGGAGTGCAACCCAGAACTTCTCCCTCCTGCACTGTGGGACTCAGCAGAGGCTGGAGACACACATGGAAAGGCTCTGGGTGAGGCACAGGTGGGGCTTAGCCTTCAAGATCATCAAGGGCATATGCACCTTCAAACTGAAAAAGACTCAGGCCTCCCTGCCTGCACAGCCTGCCTCTTCCTCCTCAGCCCCAGCTAACTCCAAGGCTGACTCCAGCTGCCAGAATAGGAATTTCCTGGGAGAATCATCTCAGAAATTTCCAGGAGAAAAGGTGAAAGCAGTTATTGAAGTTCTGAAAACTCGGGGTCCTCTCACTGGTCGCTCATTCAAATACCCGGTAATGACTCTATCTGGTGACAGTGGTGGGCCCTCACAAGCTGTGCCATGAGGACGTAAGAGCAGCTACAGTTCTCAGCCCCACATGCTCGGCACTGAGGGCAGAGCCTGGCCTGCTGATACTGTCCCGAGGCCAGGGAGAGGTAGCCTTGGCCAAAGGACAATCTACGGAATGGGCCGGTATCAGAAACAGGAGAGAGGAGATGCAGACTCCGGACACCTTTCCCCTGGAGTGTCAGCATCAGAAATGACTGTAGGATCTCTATACCCAAGAGGCAGAGACATCAAGCAGACCATGGAGACTGAGCAGAAGAAGCCCTTTGACAGGGTACTGACCAAGGCAGCCAGTGTGATGTCAACCTCCCATAACCCTCATGTGAGTCTGAGGAGTTTCAAGTCTCTGGGATCCAATAAAAGCCTCCCCCGAGACCAGAATTTCTGCTGTGCAGGACACAGGAGATTCATGCTTGGGTATGCAGAAAGAGAAAGAAAATGGGATAGAGGATCCAGCCACTGGGGTCCTCCTGCAAGACTTTGCCACTGGCGAGGTCCTTCAACACTCTTCCTTAGATATGCCTCTCTTGGACAACATCCTGACTTCTCACAAGAGTCCACACATCCCCCAAGGGGTGCTTACAAGTAGTGCATCACCTTCCCCAGGCATTGTGACCTTAGAGTGAGGGAGAGGAAGAGCCGGGAATGAACGAATCTCAGAATGCCCAAACAACAGGAGCGGAGAGTGAGCAAGTCTTACATGTGTGTTCCACCTGAGAAGAGAGTGAGCTTTGAGAGGCCCAAGCCACGAGGGAAGACAGACAGATTTGCAGGAGGGAAGTGGGTTGGAGGGCTGATTCCCTCTTCTCAGGTCAGGGAAGCAAGAGACACCATGGGGAGCAAGTCCCTGTTCCTGGCAGAGAAGAAACCAGCACCTTCCAAAAGCTTCACTGGGACCAGAGTAACAGAATTTGGGCAACACATGCTGCACAACAAAGACTGAGCAGAGGCAGAGTCCCTGCAGAGAGTCCAGGCCCCAACACCCGCTACCCAAACTCAAGGGTCAGGCGCAAGCAGCAGACTCCCTATGAACAGTGGGAGTGCTAAAGCCCAAGTGCTGGTGACCACTGTTGGACAGATCCTAGAGGAGAAAATGAGACTACAAAATGTGGTTTCTGCCTCCAAAGAAACCTTGAGGAAAGGGGAATCCCAGGGCAATAGCTGTTCCTCCTACGAAAAGAATGCTTCCTTACCCGAGCAAAACAGAAAGATGAGCATCATGGGCTGTGGTCAGCAGGCCAGGCCTGAGCACCACAGCCATTTTATGACTACAGGATTCAACATAGACAGGGCAAGCAATCCTGCCGTCCCACCATGGGAGCCTGGGCCCCAAACCAGTCCACTCCACTGCAGGCCCATGGGGCCTGGAGCCTCAGACAACCCCGTTCACTGCCCCAGGCACTGTGTTCTTCAGAAGCGTCTTCCCCAGTCAGTGTTAAGGTACTTCTCACACCTCCCTTGGGGAAAATCCTTGCCGAGCAAACCTGTTCTGTCTGGCATAAGCACAGCTTATGTGAGCTAATGGTGTCTTTCTATGGAGACGTCTGTAATTTCCCAGTAAATGATTTTATCTCATCAGAGGTAGTGGCTTCTTTCTGTGTTGTGCTGGGGCCTGGGAAGGAGTGAGTGTTGAGTTTTCCTAAGAGCAGCTTCAGGCCTAGCACTTAGGCAAGTCACTTGGTATCTCCAAAGATCATTTCCTGACCCCGCTGAGCCAGCTGCCAGGTACTTCAGCTCACCCCTTCCTCTGGGATGGCTGCAGCGTGGTCAGAGTCCCCCAAAAGCCAGCGGGAGCAGAAGGAAGCTCTCACAGTGGGTTCCTGGGTTTTCATTGTTAAGAGCGCAGCTAGGAATAGTGGAATTAACAGAGTTTCTTGAACGAGAAAAAGGTTTCAGTATTAGGGAGCACATTGGGCCAAAAATAGTTTCTGTCACTTTCTGAAACAACTCTGAAGAACGTCTCTTCTTTGAGTGCCCTTACAAGGCGTGATGAAAAATACTGTGAATGCTGCTGATGAGCGCTATTAGGGAGAAAGGCAGGTTTGTGAGCACACACGGGTCTGTCTTCATCAACCTTATTTACCAGATTTGGCACTATGTAACTTATGGCTGTTCCCCAAATTCAAAATGATCGTGAGAAGTAAATGTTTTGAATTCTGTCAAAACATTGAGGCAGCCAGGGCAGCACAATAAGAAATGCTGATGGAAGAAGGTTTCCACAGTAGCAAGAGTAGTGGGAAAAGTATGGTCAAAGGAAGGGTGTGCAACGTTAGATTAGTGTTAATTCTCTTCATTACAATAACTTTTAAAAATTTAAAAATATACTCCATATTTCATAACAGTTTAACATTCTTTGAATGAATAACTGAGTCGATTAAAAGTTGTGTGAAACAGCCATATGATAATGAGAACAGTGCATAGTCACCCAACTTCAATGAATCTCTTTTCACTGTGAATTGTTAATTCAATACAATGACAACAAACCTTCCATATCTATGAGTTATGCATTCATGGATTCAACCAACACCACATAGAAAACTTTGCAAGAATATTGCATTGGCAATAAGCATATGTTGATATTTCCTTGTAATTATTCTCTGAACAATCCCATGT